TGTGACGTCACTGCTTCCTCTATAGTATGGACGTATCTCTACTAGTTACGGTTAGAAGGCCTGGTAATAACTAGTACACCCATGTTTTGTATTAACAGTGGCTAGTACGGTTGTTACAAAATGCACGTTTAACCTGTGTTTGTCATTGTATTGACTATGAAATATTATATTTCATATTTACAGAGAGTTGGTGTTCCATTGTCAGACCGAGACCTGATAACTGTCGCATCGAGACTTGATAAACACAAAAAAGGCGTTATACGTTACGGGTAAATAAGTTCTTTGTTTGACAAAGAAATATGTGCAGGCTGAAAGAATGTATTGTATCAGCTTGAATAGTTGATGCTTCATTCCTTCACATTTGTTTGATTAAGCCTGTTGGATGTAAATTTAAACTTAAGTAGTCTATTAATTTTATCTTTATGTAGTTATGAACATCAAACAATGGATACCTGTAACAAAGCATGCATTAAAAATTATTCTTTACAAGCAATATATTCTCAACATATTATCATTGAAACTTTTAACAAAGCACAGTTTCTGGCTACCTGTTTCTAAACCAAATATTCTACAAGAAGAAATAATTGTTTTTAGAAAAAACAACAACTTTTATACACATAATGCATTCGTCTTCAAACCTAGTAGTGACACCACCTCGAAGCTCTACAAACAGCACTCATAGCATGTATGGAAAACAATGCTCACTTTTGCCTGCACTTGAGTCTGGGAAGGCATCTCTTGTTTCTATTAATTTTTAGAACGAGGCTCAAAAGACGACAAGATTTGAAAATGAACAGACCAAATCAACAAATAGTACAAACAAAATGCAATCTCCGAAATCAATTAAAAGGCATTCTTTGCAAGCTAACATGAAGTCTAATGACATATTACGTTATATTCAATCTCATCTACAACGTAAAAAGACTCAAGCAAGTTTCGACTTGTCTTCGCTTCAAAACATTAACTAATTGTATATTTATTATCTTCGTTGATAATGACATATCTTTATGTGTATTGTTGAATTTTTTACAAGTATTAAAGATGAATTTGTATTAAATGTTTATTTCTTCCACTTTGAAAGATAAAACATTAAAATAATCATTTACATGAATGTTCGGCATATTTCATATCTTTTCGCCTTATTCCCTGTATAATAACGATCAGCTAAACCAATTAAAATGTTGCAAACAAACCCCATTGGAATTTCCAGGGTTTTCGGACAATCTGGTTTATAAAATCAAAAGTTACCTGGAGAAAAATTATTACATTTTTAGAATGTTTAGAAAATGTTTTGTTCGTTTCCGCCGACAAAGGGTTTTAACTGAAACATGTGATGTGGATTTTAATTTGTCTGTACTGTTATCAAGGCTTTTCATATGAATAATGCATGACTTGAAATATTGTCTAAGTTATCGTTGTCTGTGTCACTTGTATTTAAATTGTCTTTTCTTTGTATAGTGTGCCACAAATCGCTTTCAACGTTTGCATTCATTTTCCAGATAAACATATCTTTCAGCAGTTTTGAGTAATGCTATGGACTTAAAAACTTCGCTGTTTGTGGCTTCTTTTACCAAGTTCTAAAGGTTCTCAAGATATTTCCGCTTGACAACTATACTTTCTGTTCTTAAAACACCGTGTTTAGGAACGAGAGTGTCTCCCATGTTCCATCTAATCATGAAAATGGCGGCATGGCCGAGTGGTTAGCGCGCCGGAGTAGTAATCTTACTTAGGTAATTATCGCTAGTCGCATGGGTTTAAACCCGGTCAGGGACAAGTCGTTGTTTCCTTGTGCAAGAAACTTTACACTCATTAATCAGTACTGGTTGGCTCCCAGAACGGATTCAAAACTATAAGAAATTCTGTATAAACCAATTATGATAGTGTTGTGTTTGTTAACTCATGATTTGTTACAGACATATAGAGGATGTACGTTTGTTTGTCGAAATATAGTTCACCGATTTAGCACCTGATACAAAAAAAAATAATAAGAAGAAGAAACACAACATCCACAGATGTGTTCATATGGCGGTGATCGTGGTTCAAACAGAATCTGCAATTTTCATCATTTAATTTTCTCTTTCAAAGCTTTTGAGGGATATCTTGCTTTTTAGGTTTTTATGATGATGATTCAAGGCAAGAATCGAACAGTTTAAATGGGACGAAACATCTCAGATAAATATTAAATCAAATAAAATTCCTGATTTACATTTATGCAATCAAATTGCCCTAAAATGTTTTACAAAATGAGTACAGTATGGAGCTCCGTAACAAAATTTACCAGTGTATACCGGAAAATGTTTTTTTTTAAAAAAAAAACAAAAAAACCTGGCAATTATCGTGGCTTCGAAAAATAGAAATTTCGTAAGCTATTCTTTTGAATACCTTTTTACACATGATTTTCCTTTCACTTTTGTATGCCTTAGATTTTTGAAAAGAAATGTTTCGAAATTCAGCGAAGATTGCCTGATTCAGGACGGGTAAACATAAAGATTCAGCCGCTCGACCGTTCGACCCATAACAATTCGTCGAACTTGGGATATTGACGATTAAGCCAGAGCATGGAGCTAAATATAGGCATATGTGGCCAGATTCGAACGAGAAGAAATAATCATTTGAAACTGTAAATCAGTGTAAGCATTCAGAAATAAATAAATTAAATTTATGTTCAGAAAAATTTTAATCTGGTTATATTAATTGCCGAAAAAACACCAAAAAAATACCGAAAAACACTAAAATACAAAGAAATATTAATTCAGCAATATAAACAATTTTTGATGGTTATTTGATGAAATGAGTTTTTGATGGTTATTTGATGAAATGGGTTCAATAATATCAGTTTTAAATCGATGATATATACAATTGGTATAATTCCAACAAAATAAGTTTATCTACTTTTTTCTACCCTCTAAATGACTAAAATTTACTTTCTTTTTGCAACCAGTGTAAATTAGAGAATGATTCTATTTTGTATTAAATGCGATATGAAAGTGTTTTTCGGCAAAGTAACAGTCTAGCGTAAAAAAAAAACATGGAAAAGCCGGAAAACACATTTTTACGGGCGTTAAAAGAGTCGGCCGCTATTCAAACTTTTAAATGAATAACTATTACCTTCTTTTGTTACCAATGTAAAATGTCAGTGATGTTATTTTTATAAATACAGTATGAAAGTGTTTTTCGGCTACGTAACGGTCTAGCGTCAAAAACATGGAAAAGCCAAAAAAAAACAAAAAAAAAACACATTTTACTGGCGATGAAATGGACATTTTTAAAATAAGAACTATTAAATAAATTTTGCAACCGTCTAAATGAATGATTATAACATTATATGTGTACGCAATGTAAAATATCAGTAATATGTTTGTAATAAACATTGTATGAAAGCGTCAAAAACATAGAAAAAAAACAACAAACAAACAACACATTTTACTTGCAATAAAATACTAGATATATTTTTAAAAAAAAGTGCTGCTAAATGCATTTTTCAACCGTTTAAATGAATAACCATGACATAAAATTTATTACCTTTGTAAAATGTCAGTTATTTTTTGTAATAAGTACAGTATGAAAAAGTCAGTGGTGAAACTTATAGGTTGGCTCAGGGTGACGTTTGAGATTGTTGAATGTCGGCTATCCATCTTATGTTCTGTCCACATTTAGCATCGTCGGATATCCACGGCCGAACCATTTACATTTATCAGTTCTGTCATGTAAAATGTTAGTCAACCATGTGTATCCGACGCTGACATTACAGTTGTTAACAATCTGCTGGTCATTTAGTTTGTTAACACTCTACTGGTCACACTTTTGTCCCAATTGTCACACAACATCGTAAGAAAGTGTGTGACAGGTTTTGCTCGAGTTTGAACATGGATCACCTTGGTTGAAAATCAGAAGAAGGTCACAGTAGCCAAAAAATAGAAAAAAATGTTTTAGCTCAATGGTTGATCTAAAGTTAAGAAGTTGGTAACACAACCTGATTATTGAAAACCCCTTGTTAACTTGCTGTCCAATATAAATGGATTTCTTGGAAAGGTTGTTCATGAAGAATGTATGTAACAATTATTGAATAATGAAAATATTACAGTACATTTGAATTGTTTTTATTATAGATTTCATTTTTATTAATAAACGATAAAGTAATGCATTTGAAAATCAATGTGTAGAAATTAATACAACACACCGGAATATATTTATTAATGCATAAAAGTACAGTACATAGATGTACTATAATTTGGTAATTAAGTCTTGTAGGATGATTCAATTAATTGACTTTGTATAGAGTTCAAGCCAGATCATGTATTTTTATTAGATAGCATCACTGGAAACTCAAGATGACTGTTTCAATATTCTATACTGCAGTCCATTTAACGGGTGTTTCAAAAAATGATTTCTTTATTGCTCATCTATCAGCTTGCCTAGCAATACACAGATGGAACATTACATCTTCCTTGTCTCATAAAAAAGCATGTGAGTCACTTGTTAGGGACATTGACCTTGGTCAGAAGATGACCCCTATTGTTTTCGAGGTCAGTAGGTTAAAATCAACATGGCTTTGATGACAAAAATGGATTATATTATCAAGCAATGTATACTTCAGTACTTTCAGTGCTTTGATTTTATTATTAATAAAGCGTTTATTACAGTTGTTACCCGCACATAGATGATTATATATGGCCATTGATTTGTTGCTTTGTTTCAATATCAATTGAAAGTACATGAATTGATGTAGTTCTATAATGAAATGCTATTCGGTATATATTATTCATAAATTTGATTGGGGGAGGGGCTTTTGTACACTGTGTCATTTTTTGAGGGGGGGGGGGGGTTGTCCGTATTCCGTTCTGTTCCTATCCTGGGAATGATTTTATTGAAGCAATTGATTTCACATTTTTTCTGTCAAGCGTTGTCATAAATCATCGTTTGAACTATGACAATGATTCTGTGTTCTGTTAATGCATCTATCTGGTGCTATCCAATTGGCTAATAATTTTAATATGCGCGCACATCAGTTGGTGCCTTTATTACTTGATGAAAATCATGTATTTACGCACTTAATATCAAAACGATCTAGTGGAACTATGGAATCAATTTTAAAGTTTCGCTGTATTTTGTGGCTTTTTCTATTTACCTTTTATATGCTACAAGTTCTAGGGAGCATAGAATTTTCAAGTTTCTTAAGATATTTTCCGCTTGATGGCTATACTTGCTCTTCTGAAAACACCGTATTTAGGATGGAGAATATCTTCCACTTGCTTGCATGCGCATTGGTGTGTTCTACTAAAGATCATTGCCACGGGGTATACTTTGATAACGTGACAAAAGAATGTAAAGGATGTGTGGCAGATTTTTATGACATACCACAAATTCTAAATGGCTCGGTATATTATGCTCGTGATAGTAAGTTCATTATCATTATTTTAGTTCTGTTGTAACCAAGGACTATACCCATCGCATAATGACTTGAGAAAATTCATAAAACTTTTTGAAAGCCTCTGTACCAAATTATTTATAAAAACGACAAGGAACCGTTTATCACTACATTCTTTATTTTGTTTATGCCATTAATTAGAAACTTCGAGATTGTTGTCGCTGTCTGTATGAATGTTAATTTTATCATTTTTAATACATGTATACGAGTATTATGTTCGTTCTAGTATAGTTATATATAATGTTACACATTATTATATCACCTGCATTTGTTTTGTGACTTAAACATTTACATATAATGACATAAAAAGATACTTTGTTTAACAATGTTTACTATACTCAATTCGAAAATCTTCTTACATAAATATTTATTTGTGTCTGGTAAATCATCTTTAATTTCTATGGTCGCTGATTTGTATCGTGTCATATTTTCGATCTGCTGTTCGTCGGACGAAAACACGAAAATACCACAAAGTCAAGTATGTCGTACTTTTGATCCGCGGGGCGTCATACGACAATGTCTCCACTTTGTGCATCCTTGTGTCTTCGCATGTCGACACTCGGAGCGAAAATACGCCATGACACAACTCAGCCAACTTAAATTACAGACACAAAATAAATGTAACTTAAATTGTTAGGGCGTTAAAAGCACAGTATGTAACAATGCATTCGAAAATAATAGAAAAAAAATGTGTATAAAAAATGTCAATTGTTTTGAACAGGCGCAGAAAACACAATGAAGTATGCAAATGCCTCGTTTAACGGTAGAAGATGCGATGAGAGCGCAAGTGTGTTCCATAAGGAAAGTATGACAAGTTATCAACAATGTGCTCGGGCATGCGCCAACAATCCTTTGTGCTACAGCTACTTTTATCATCCAGACATACAAGAGTGCCTAGGATGTCAGTCTGAGTACGGAGTTCTAACCAACAGTCCACAACTAGAAGAATGGAACGGATCAATGTATTTTGGACGATTTCGTAAGTTTAAACACGTGGGATTATCAGTTTAAGTAATTCTTGTTTAACTTTTATATAAATGCTTTTATTACTTCGTAATAATCTTAAGAATCGTATAAACTGTATAATTAATATAAAATAAAGCTCCTAATAATCTTTATAAACTGCACTAGTGTAAGAATAAGTGATTAATATGTCTCTATATATTTATTTTACCATTGAAGGATACATTGGCTGCTATTATAACAACCCGCGCAGTTTGGAAAATCCTCATAAATTGTTTGAAGACAGCTTGACCACTGAGCAATGTGTTGGGTACTGTATCAATGGAGACTTTTTGTATGCTTTGACGGAGGTAACATTTTAAGTACATTATTTAATTTGCTGAAGTTCACTAAATTCAAAATTTATGCCTAAAATACTAATGTTTATTTATTAAACATTTAAAGTAAGGCACTCAATTTAATAGCTTTTTTCAAATGTTTGAATATAAATATTACTAATAAGCCAAGCCTTAGATTCTAGAAAATGTTTGATTTTTTTTTAATTTCTGTTTGTATTTAATTCTTACCCTATTAGCTCTATGTAAGCTTTTACGTTTTCAAAAAAAAATCAATATTACATACAATTTATATTTAAGTTTGGTGACTGGTGTCAATGTGGCAATGAACTGTCACGAAATGAAATACTTCCTAGCGAAAGATGTGACATGAGATGCACTGGAAATACTAACCAATTTTGCGGTTCCGAATACACTGGCTCACTGTACATCATACATTATTGGTAGAAAGCCACATGTGTTTGATATATAATATTTTTGTCTCACGTATAGATATAGAATTAAAAATATAAGTTGTAAAATGCAAGATGTGATACAATCGAGATTTAAATTGAGAACAAAAATCTGCCAGACACTAAATACCACAAACGGTCACTTATGAAACTTCGAGGATTGTCGCAAAAGTAAAGAGACAACCGTTGTCTAAGAGATGAAAATAATGCAAATGATAATGATAAATTTTACTCGTTTTAATCGAACTATACCAAAATCAATTTGTATGTCTCCTCAGTGCAATTAATATTTACTTGGATCATTTCATAAGCATCCCGCGACCACAATATGTTACTAAGCAACGAGTTTGAAATACATTGTACCACTAGTAAAAAGATAGTATTGCGATTCGCCTTTCAGAAAAATGCGAAACTATCATTTATGCTTTTGACTCTTTTACTTTTAAAAGAGGTCGTAAGAAGTGTCTTGACATTCTTCTGATGCTTGTGAGGGGCTTAAAAATGACCAGTGATAATTCTACATGTACTTTTATTTTGTTGGTTATTTCGTAGAAAAGTTAGACAGTCTTTGAACGAAATATAAGCATTCATAAAATTGTGATAAAATAAATGCGGTTTCTGTATTTTATATGAGTAATTTTGTAATTGTACTAATTGTCATACGCCCGACCACTTTCACGTGAAAATATGCACGCCAGACTAAACATAAATATAAATACATGATTGAAAATCGTGTTGATTTAGATTGTATGTAACTATTTTTTTTTACTTTTTGAGGAATAATATGTTACACCACTTCTGGTACATTGTATATGGTGGCCATTTTAAATAACCAAGTATTTAGAAATATTGTCGTTTCATCATGTACGTACATGTATATGGATTATCATTTGTTGCCTTGGGATTTTGCTCTAAGTAATGATTACCTGTCCAAGACGTTCTTAAAAGCGGCCTAATAGCCATAGAGTTTATATTTGCTAGCTTCAAGGTGCATTTGATTTGTTTCAATGCCAACTATTCATTGTAATACATTGGACTGTCAATACATGTTCATAATCGTTTTAAATTCAAAAACATTGGTTGTGTCTTTTCACAACAGAATATTTGTTTATTTCTTGCTAAAAGCCTTCTCTTTATTCTGTACTTTCTAGTCATATGTGTTAAATAACGGATACTATCTTTAAGTTAGAAAAAAATTTCATAGATGAAAGTATATCAAGTTTTCTATATATCACCAATCTAACCAATTGCAATGTGATACATCTCTATAAATAACAAAAACATGTAGGCTTGATACATGTACATTAAATTTTATGAAAGCATACAATTTTTGACACACATTTATGAATATATGAGCTTTTTGAAAATACTTTATGATTATATGAACTTTTAGACTTTTACAAACATTTTTGAATATTACGAGTTTATATATTATAATGCTGAAATGTAATGGATAAGACATTCTTTAACAAACCAACTCTTTATCAGCACAATAAATTTACCATAATGAATATAATATTTGTATGAATTATCAGAATACATTTCATTTATTTCACCTCCGTGCGCTCAGTTTGTATAATTTGGTTGCTTTCTAATACCAAAATTACTATTTATAATTTCGTTTTCACATAACTATTTGACGATTTTGTCATAAAATATATTGTACGATCATTTTAATTACATCAAGCATTATATGATAACTCTTCAGCCGATTGTTTGACCTTCCTAACAAACACATTTAAGGTAGCTCGCTACTTTCCGACCGAAATTTGACAATATCTCAGATCTTGATGATTTTTGGTATACATAAATATAGATATGTAAGCTTTACTTCTGCAGCATTATTTTACAAATAAACAGCGTTACTATGACGTCAAAGCGCCCTCTATCGGTGGCGGCGAAATTGCGTCTTTTATATCAATAAACCGGTCTGTTCTTATTAATTTTCATCCGATTTCCTTCGTTTTAATTTTATAATGTTCAGTAAATGTATATCTTTGAAATAATGTCATTATTTAACATTTGCATAATACTCTGCGATTCTACGTTATTTAAACCCACGTTCTGACGTCCATTTATGATACAAATATCGCGCGATATCGCAATAAAGATTGTAAAATAACAAAAAATCAACACGGTGAATTTTGCTATAATTTTTTTAACATGTAGTGAAGTCATGAAAGAAAATATTTATGCAATAAAAATATAGGGTCAACGCGTAAGATATTTTGCTATCACTATTTTAATATAAGATAAAGGATGAGTAAAACGTAATGATTTTGGTGACGTCAAATATTTTTCTTAAGGAAATTGTCACGACTTTTCCGATGAATAGTATACTGACTGGAATTAAAATGTGTGAAAACCATCAACAACAATAGTATTTAGACATGTTCCGTAAAATGTTCTTTTAAAAGTCCTGTCAGGTGCCCGCATTTCGATGAACAACTTCAATTATATACATGTACAACAAATCAGGGTATGACTGTCTGCAAAAGTTTGTATCAATCTCTAAAAAACTGCAACGAATAGTTATAAATACCTCGAGGACTGAAAGACAATTCATAATATTGAAAGATATAATTAAAAGGCCACCTAAGTGGAAATATTACAAACATAAATTTTGCAAAGAATGTCAGAAAAAAAGAATGAAAAGGCTGGTGCAGTCGCGGTGTCATCATGTTATGTGTATCTCGGTACTACATAAACTTCCATGTTATCATACGTATGTAACAATTTCGAATTGTATATATCAGTTAGTAGGAAATGAATCAAATTTACGTTTTAAAAATGTAAGATCAACTCGAATTAAGTAACAACGATTTGTACGTAAGTCATGATTCACTGGTAGTCTTAATTATATAAATCTAGCAGACATTTATTTTAAAACTTTTCTACTCGTATAAAAATTTATTTATTAACAGCCATCAGTTATTCTATTTTCTCTCGCAGCTAAATACTAGTAAATAATATCCCTGCACTAAGCGTGAGACTCAGATTTAAAGGAGGAATCACGTTCACATGCTATGGCTTGATTTTCTCACGCATTTCACATAATTACAGATATTCTTATTTATTTAAAACTCGGTGACTCGCGGTATGCGTTTACTAGCGCATCTTTGAAGCGACCTGAAGCCGCGATCATTTCTCGATTCGAGGCGAAAGATCCGTTGATTTATTTTGTATGTTCATAAGAGGATAATTTTGCATATTAAAATTAATACAGATTCCCTTGTTTAGAAGACGATCATGTAGGATCCTCAATTTGTGTGAATATGGTTTTCGGAGAAGTTCGTTTTTATCTGCACATAATACAGTGCTATGTAGAGCCTATGATAATAATGAACTATGCATTTTATGTTTTATATCTTCTTATTTTTTTAATATTGGGTTTAACGCCGCTTTCAACAGTATTTCAATTATAGCTGAGGGAATTTAACAAAACCAGTGTTTCTCACAGTATCAACTTCTCTATACGTAAATAAATGACAGGAGTCCGAGGTGGACCTTGAAACATTTCATATACAGTAAACAATTCTAAAGGATAATCTATTAGTACAATACGCAATCGTGTCTAAGACCACTTTACCGATTACAGAATATTCAAAGTTAAAAACCTGATTATGATCTCCCTTAATAAGGCAGAAGTCCACTTTATTGTTTACATCATAAACATGTGTTTTTGGTGTGTGTTTTCGGTTTTTCTTTATTTTTCTATTTTTGTTTAAAAGCAAACTGTATTGTATTAAAAATGAACACGATAACGTCAACATAATATATTATTCGTATTCAGTGGTAACAAAAGTTGCACAAGGTATTTAATAATTATATTTTGTATTTAATTAAAATATACAGTAGAAATGCCCTTTGTTGCCTAGAGCGGTTGCTCTACAGAGGTAAAATGTAGTGGAGCCCTTTAGAAATAAATAATATTTTGAGGGCCGCTTTGTTATACTGTAATGAAAAAGCGGTAAGTAGGTATACGTAAATCCGAGTTCCAAAAAGTTTTATAGTTTGTCATTTTCTAATTATGACATTTTAATTAGATTATAATTATATAATCTATGTATTGCACATACTTAAAAATGGTAAGCAAAAATAAATGTTTTTGTTTCTTGTTACATAATGTACAGTTTGTTTTTAAATATTCTTAACATGTTTTAATATTATTTCTGAATTTAAGTAATAGAAAGAGCACCGAAACACGAGGCTATCTGATTTGTACGAGGGGGCGTAGCCCCCCGAGTATTAATCAGATTGCCGAGTGTTTTGGTGTTCTTTCTCTTTTGTATCATAGTCAAACATAAAAGCACGTTCCTTGTTGTCACAAAATGAAACCCCGGCAAAAATGAACCAATGAACGAACATCTGAATATGACATTTCTGTCGCTTTCCCTTTCTCTGCCGTCACAATATGTAACCCCCAGCAAAAATGAGTCAATCAATGGGCATGCTCTGGAGTGCGGGTAACTAATACCCGCACTCCAGTTAACGCACTGTGCATGTATTTGTATACGATTTAACCCTGACACATTTTTAACAGAAAGGTCTCCAAACTATGATACAATTTATCACTTATTTCACATTTGTATGCATATCTATTTTAATACATTTTTACGATGTGTTTTAACACCCATGCAGGCTCGTCTGCCTGTATTTGATTTTATGAAAGTGTTTAAAAGCTGAATGTAACGTAAAATAAATATTCTAACGGGTATAAGCTAAGCGACCTAATATTCTTACTTCATTCATACAGCAATATGTGAATCTTATTTTTTTTGCGCTGAAACTAGTTAATTTATTAACGTGTATTCTTACTACTAAGTAGCTTTCCAGCGACAAGGTTCGAAAGCAGACGGAACTTTAGTTATTGCTGAGATATCTTTCGTTGAAAGATACGGGGTCTAAGATGACGCAATTTCTTTATAAATGAACAAAACCATATATAGCAGATACGTATGACTGTAGAACCAATAGTAGCGTTTCTAAGCTATTAAAACGGTAGAACCAAAGATCATCATGCACATATCTTTACATTGCAGATATAGCATCGTCTGGAACTGCGCAACACTTCTAATACAAATAGTTATATTTCCCAGAAGAAAACATAACTGTTTAATAAATAGTCAATTGTGAATAAAATAACAGAACACAGAATGATTGGAATAAGGCCGTGACTTTATTGTGCTTTTTGGTGAAAACAAATATCATCGTCAAAACATATGAAATGAATGAGAAAAATATGAAAGACAGCTCCCAGCTAAATGCATGGAAAGCTACATAGCAACGCAAAGTGCTGTAAACTATGATAATAAGCTCTGAAAATGCTAAACTCTGCTTGGACTTGCCGCAAAGAGGTCAACGATTAAGAATATAAAGCGGCGTGGCATTTTACAAGAGTAAAACAATAACAAAGCTAAAGAGAAATCGGGGCAAATTGCTCCCATTAAATCTCTTATCAATGAGATATTCGCAATGATAATGAAAAGTCTTGAATATAATTTGACTTAGAGAAGTTACAGTAATAATATATAAAGTCACGACTGGATTTAACACACTAATGTATCAATTACTAGTATACAAACGTATTTGCATTATGAAAGATATATTCTAGTTTTCAGATATGATCAATAAAGTTAGGTATGTAAAAATAGTAAAATATAAAACATTTTGATTTCCTATACCATGAAAACTTGCAAATTGTGGTCGACTCGCCCAGGAAAAACCAAATAAAACCCAGTGAAAAATAGGAAACCTGTACCCGTTTGTCAATGTCATACCACAAAAATGTCGGGTCGCATCCTTGCAATTCATTTAAGCATTAGAATATATAAAAAGCACCATTTTAATCATTTAGCTCAATTAATTATTGTTAATACTAATAAATATTTTAATAAATTATTTTTAAGTATCGAGTAATGTTCCAAATTACAACTGTTTATTTCTACAACAAAGTTTGTTGTAATCAGACGTAGAGCATCCAATTATTACTTTGAGTGTCAACACATTTCAAACACTAAATACGTGGGATAAAATGTTTTCTGTAGACTGTAATTACTGGACATCAAATTCAAGCACACGTGTCGATGGAGCGGCATGGCATGGCTGAACGGGAAGTTATGAAAAACCGACTGGATTCAAGCTGAAAAATATAAACACTCGGCAGCAGAACATGTTTATGTAAAATTGAAATACAAATAACACATGGGAAGGGAGGGTGGGATTTTAATAAGCGATGTTTCCACGTCAAATTTTAAACTTTAAATGCGCAGCCTTTACAATGTACGCACGAAAAACTCGTGCTTGGTAAACTTACGAAAACCAGTTTTATCGGAATGTTTTACCGTTTCACACGGATGGGTTTTGAGGCAATTACACATATGCACCCGTCAAAAATTAAACGGGATTTATTTCTCAAAAGAAGATAAATCTACTTAATTCATATAATAATATAACACTTTTCACTCTTTCATTACAAACATCAAAATATAAAATTAAAATTAAAAGATGTATGAGACTGCGTCCTGCAAATTAGAAATGTATTTAAGATTAAACATTGTAAATTTGCTGATCTAGCGCATGCTTTCAATGAGAAAATAATCAACAATTTAAAAAATATACATTTCATCAAGTTCCTGTTTTGTTTATACTTACAATCGTAATGTTTGACGTAAGAAAATTGTTATTTGGTATCATTCTTTGAACTCCAACGTCTATTAACGCCACAAAAACCATTACGTTACATTCCCTTTATTTTATTTTAAAACAGTAATAGCAAAATATCTTACGCGTTGACCATATATTTTTATTGCATAAATATTTTCCTTCACTTTCTCACGACACGCTCGAAAAATTATAGCAAAGTTCACCGTGTTGAATTTTTTTAATTACACAATCTTTATTGCGATATCGCGCGGTATTTGCATCAGATATGGACGTCAGAATGTAGAGAAAAATGACGTAGAATCGCAGACTATTAAGCAAATGTTACAGAAAGATATCATTACAAAGACATACATTTACTGAACACTATAAAATTAAAACGAAGGAAATCGGATGCAAATTGATAAGAACAGATTGGTTTACTGAGAAAAAGACGCAATTTCGCCGCAACCGATAGAGGGCGCTTTGACGTCATAGTAACGCTGTTTATTTATAAAATAATACTGCAGAAGTAAAGCTCACATATCTATATGTTTGCATACAAAAAATCATCAAGATCTGAGATGTTGTCAAATTTCAGTCGGAAAGTAGCGAGCTACCTTAAATTACTTTTAAGATAATATATTGTCGTTCCATTTCTGATTTGATTCGTAAACTCTCTATGAATCTCAAAGTCAAGCTTATCCATGCAAGATATTACATATTCCGGAGATCGATTGTTGACATGAGAATAACCCGGTTGGTCTAGCCTTGCCCAGCTAAGAATCACACCTTTTCGCGCATGTCGAACTAAGTTACCTAGTAATACTTCCTCAAAGGCTTTGGGTACATGTTCGGCTACTTCAAGACACAATATCCAATCGTAAACTGGTAAACCAAATTGCGGAATAGAAAGATCAAGAAATTGCACGAGACCGTTGCTTGTAACCTCACAAAATGGTGCGCCATCATATGCATCGTATGCTCTCACGAGCCCTGTTTCAAGTACAGCTTCTTTGAATTTACCTGGACCGTCACCAAAACTTGCAATGTAATTTCCTTAAAAACAGACAAAAATTATAAGACAATGATGTTTAGATTTTGCACGGATTCTCATTATCAAAATCATTTAAACCGAACCTAATTATAATTAATAAGATCTAGAGCTGTTGATATTCTGATAAACTGTGCCTAATTTGCATTTTAATGCAGGAAGTGATATAAACTGATGACTATTTTGTTAATTAAAAGAGAAAAATTGTTTTCGAATTTAACGTTTCAAATAAATGTCAACGAATAAAAAAGTTTAACCATTAACTGTAAAAAAGATCAAAGTCCCGAACGCCCCTGGTATGGTGGGACCATTAACTTGATACTTATCTTCAACATTTTATGATTGTTCGATAACACGTAAGTGAAACAAATTACATAAATTAGGTTAACTTAATAGCTCCATTTAACTTTTAAATTTTTTTCTTTCAAAAGAAAATTTGAAAAAAAAATTTAAGTATATATTTTGTTTATTTGTAAGCTGAAGTAGGATATTTTCATTGTAATATACCTTCAAAAAACTTGGCTAAAGTTATTGCAAGCTGTTTGTCAAATCCGGAATGTTTCGTTCTTGAGGCTATCGGGCACCATCCACCAGCATCTGTTACTGCTGCTCTTGCGACTTTTGTTCTATTCAACTCCTTTTAAAAAAATATACGAGTAATACTGTGTAAGCAAGATGCACAAAACATCCAAGTAATATTCAACATCGATAAATCATACTATAATACCATGACGAATGGTTTACAAACATCAAATATTAAGACCAAGCGTTATAAAATAATTATGATAAAGAACATCAGAACATTAACTCAAATAAGCCAATTAGTGAACAAAAAACGGTAGACTTAGTTGAATTTACACATTTTAAGCCAGTTTAAAGTTGTTGAAAAGGAAAAAGAAGAAGTCAAAAAACAAAATACAAGAAAAAAATGCAAACATTTTTGTAATCATTTTTTATGATAAAACAATATATGAATGGTCATTTGCTAACACAGTTATGCAAATTGGTCGGACTTGCGTTTTAAAAATTGGTGTTTTACGTGGGAGTTCTTTCAAATTATTCATTGTGATTATTCTAATTGCGTTGTGAGGTGCAGTCATAAACCGTTTATTTTAATCCCTTAGTGTTTTCACACTTATCAGGAAAACATGTTCTAGCCCGTGAAGGCAGAAAAGTCGCAGAAAAGTACACTTCCTACACCATTCGCACGTTGAGGTTCGGCGGAAGGTCTACGTTTCTGGTAAAACGTTCTCATCTTGGATAAGCACACTGTTCTTAAATGATCTATGGGAAATTGTTTGTTTGGAACAGGAATTTTAACACTAGGTCCATCAAATTTGAAAACTGACATACAAAATATTTTCAAAGCTTTTTATTTCTTTTGCAATAACTGATCCATCTTGTTCATTGTGTAACCACTGCTTATTCTTGACACAAACTTCATCACTTGTTAACAATTAGGAAATTCTACAATTGTCACAATTTATGCACTTTAAAAAAATATATTTCGCATTTTTAATGCCAAGAGGAGTTGAAACCACCAAGCACAAAGCATTTTTTTTTAGTTTAAACTCCCGATTACATATCCCGGTTATACACCAACACTATTTGCAAGTTCTTTCAATGTACGTCTTGCGTCTTGTGTTGGTTAGATTTTCCACATAAGAAACATTAGTTGTGGAAGCTGCAGTGATAGGCTTACCGAGTCGGAGGCATCTTTTAAGGCTGTTTTACCATCTTACCTGAAACCTGACATTATAGATAGCACAGATGCCTCATGAACCCGTCACAATTCATCATATATCTGTTAAGCAGATATTGTTAGACTAAAATGACATTTAATATACAGACTAAAATGACATTTAATATAGGCCAGCCGCCATGATTTCAAAGCTTGGCGCAGTTTTCAATGTACTTGACGTAGTACAGTTTGTGTAAATGACAACAAATGTTTTCAATATCTTTTGAAAGACTTCCAATATTCCATATTATTATGCCATTGTTCATAAATGCCATTGATTAATACCTGACAGGAAGGAGGCGCATAATTTTCATAATTATTATACTTGTAATGAAGTCTCATATAACAATATTAATTTGACTGGTTTGATTGGCCTGTCATATGTGTAATAGTAAGTATAAACTACTGTTCACGCCGCTCTCTTGCACCGGCCTCAGTAACATACTACATTAATTAATGAGAATGATGATAATTATCTAATTAGATAATTAGAACAAACCATTGATCACATCCTAAGACATATTTTCATACTGAATAAGTATTTAAAAAAAACTGTTTGAAATATTTATATTCATAAGTTTTTGATATACATGTGTATGAATATAACAAAGTTGTGGTTTTTAATAAATAATAATACTACCTCACATTTCATTCTTCCGATGATTTGCTGTTTCTTGTTGAGCAATTTGGAGAGGTTATTTTCTCTGAGTATTTTACCGATGTTTTCAATCTTGTACTTCAATCCTCGTTTGACATGAGTTGCCCTTGCATGTACTGAATCAAAATATCATATTATGAAAGTATATGTGAATGTTTAATAACAGATTATTTGCGTGTAAGATTTGTATAATTATAGAAAAGGCATACCAAATCTATAATTTTGAACAAGTTAGATCATATATCTATTATATATGTGAGCAGCTTTCTCAGGAAAGTTAACGAATTAGAAAAGAAAATATTTATCTCATCGAATAACGACGTTTAAATTTACGTTCTCAAGATGTTTATTTTAAGAAAGGTAGATTCAGCCCGGAAAGTATTCTGGTTCCTTTCATCTGAAGTGCGCAGCAATAAGGATCTTTCTTTCCTTATATTTGGCATAATAAGAAATGCAACACGATTGTAGTCTCACCAATGTCCTGAATATGTGCGACGCTGTTACAAGAGTGGCAACTGTTTTGGCATATATATTAATAAGATACTCGATTAAGATTGCAACCCATTCAATTTAAGAATGCACCATTTTTCAACGACAATATACAGAATCTGTTTTTAGTAAAAAGTCAATTGATTTATATTAGATAAGCAACCGCTTTTTTACAATAAAAATGACCTAAATACATACAATTTAAGAGTGGGATCGCTTTATGCACATTCTTCGATACTGTTTACAGAGTGCACTAGATTTGAATCAAGGACATGATTTTGATACATATATATTCGATATGAAATAAAAGTTTACAACTTTTACAAATTGTCCACGACATAGTATCTCGTGCCCACGACTTAATTATCTCGTGCCCACGACTTAGTAATTCGTGGCCATGACATAGTATCTCGTAACCACGACATAGTATCTCGTGGCAATGACATAGTATCTCGTGCGCGCGGGATAGATAAAATCAAACACATATTTCATCTTTGTGCCACCGTACATAAGCGAAGGGACTTGCAAGACCTTTACAAGGGAGTTAAATAAGGCTTAAAAAAGGTAACTAAACAAGCTCATAGTAAAAATAGAGTGTGAATTTCACGCTCGCGACACCGGGTCAGGTAAGTTCCCTATGAAAACATTTTTTCGAAAACAACTAAGGCAATGTGAATAGTAACAATATATTATGAACATTTTATCAAATACGCCTACAAAGCTGTTAGAACACACGGCCGGTAATTAACATCAGTTACACAAGTTGATTTTCGTGGCCAGATCACTTGTAAACAATGGGTATGAGATAAAGGTTGTCAAAATAATCGGATTGCAATTGTATTCGTTGTACCACGGACCATGAGAAATCTTCGAACATTTAAATTTCGACCCATGTATAGGTTTTTATAAAGAAAATATAGGGGAAGAAATCGGGAGATTCATTTTACTTCGACACATCAATAAAATCGACTACTCGAAATTCGACTTATAGAAGTTCTACCTAGATCAAGTGTTAGTACAATTTAATTATCCAAAACGTTTATCACTAATCTTTGAAAAAAGAATGATTAATTTATAATAAGAAAATGATAAATTCCTAAAAGTTGTTTGATGGACAACATTTACAAGAGGATTGGGTCACATCTGCAGTCTATCGTATTGTCAAGCTATAAGATGGATGAATGTGATCAAGGATGACAGAGATCAGGCGAGGAAGATACCAAGCCTTCCTAGGCCGGCGAAGAATAGAAGAACTCAATCTAAACCTTAAAATGTTGATGAAATCTCACAAAACACAAACTCCCCTCGTGCAAATCAGATAACCTCGTGTTTCAATGCTCTTTGTATTACATATCGATTTTTATTTGTTCATATCTACCTTTATAATAATTACACTAACGTCTGTTGCATTTTTTTATAATAAAAAAACATCTTCTCTGCTTTGACAATGGCAGTCTAGAGGTTAGATATTTAGCATGAAACATTGTGTAGTAGACCGCTACCATGATTGTTCAATATATAATGTATAATCCTGGAGTCAAAATAAGTCCGTCCCGCAGTACATGTAAACAAACAAAAAGAAAATTAAAAGAAAAAAGAAAAAAACTATAACCTTTTATAGCTATTATAGCATTTTACCTTTTCCTTCCAGTCAACGTTTTCATTTTTATTCCACGTGGAAGCAAAAAGAATCGTTATTGCCATTACGCAGAGTAATACACGACAACATTTTATAGCATCTTTTCAAAACATACTTCACATTTAAATATTCCACTTGCAAACAAACAGTTAATTTAGCACAGCAATTTAAAAAAAAAAAAATGTCAAACATACAAACGTAGAGATATGGCAATTTAATTAACGACGTAGGCAAAATGAGTAGCATATGTTTAATAATAATGAAAGGCAATTTCAACGCTACTAGATAGATAACCATATTTAACAATAGTTTAACTTTTAACAATATCTGTAACATATGAATATGTATAGAAAGCACACAGAGAAAATGTTTTACATTTGATTGAAAAATTTACAAAGTTTTTGACCCTATAAGCTTACATATTAATCGGGGCGTCCGTGGCCGAGTGGTTAATGTCGTTGATTTCAAACCATTTGCCCCTCACCGCTGTGGGTTCGAATCCCGACAGGCACTTTGGATTCTTTCATGTGAGGAAGCTATCAAGTTAGCCTACGGAACGTCGGTGGTTCTACTTGTGCCATAAATGTAAGTAAGACACTTAGTCCCCTTGACTTCTCGATCCCTTACGATATTAAGATGACTTCTCGACACTAAGATCTCTTTTGCATGACTTTTCGATCCCTAGTGGGTAAGACATTTCGACCACTATCTCAATTTTTGTACTTAAGAATCACAGATACTTCGAGAAAATAATTTAAAGCAAATAGCAATTTTTATAAAAGTATCCGATAAAATATTGAAAACTTAATGTAAAGCAATAATTTAACATTTTTTATTTGTTAAATGCTATGTTACATAGAGTTGTAGGATGGCTACATGGCAGTTATATATAATATATAATTTTTGTTAATATAAATGCTTGAGCATGATATAACAAATTAGGCCCTTGACTAAAAGTGAAGGAATTATGATAATGATAATAATGAAAATGCGCGATTTGAGAATTGCGTATTTATTCATATCTACAATTTCTACAATTTTGTAAAGATTTAGTTTATTTTTCTGTGACAAACGCATGCATGTTATATCGGCAATGAATTGTTCTACATGCCTACTTAATTTATGTTATAATTATATTTTTATGGTATTTACATTATGAATTAATTAAATAACAAAATACCAATCAATCAATAAATGATTGTTATTAGAAAACGATCTTCATGTTTTCGATTAATTTTGATTTAAATATATTTCGAGAATAACATATACTATATTTGACATTGAGCAAAATATTGCTATAATAATCTTCAAAAGCAATATTTTCGACAACAACAGGTTAAGAAATTACAAAATGTATTTAATATCTTAAAGTCAATACATGTTCCTCTTAATCACATTATCTAAATGTGTGTGAAAACGCGCGACCAATAAACATCAGCCACGTGTCATTGGTAATTTAATTATCGGTACTTGACACCCGTGATAAACATTCTGCCAAATCACCAAATTGTTGTAGTTGTGCTAAATAAACAATAGCTGCATTTTTATTTTAACGTGGTTTTCTGATTGGGAAAGGAATTGTTATACGTTATACTGCCCTCACACATACCTCGCGACCTTACTGCGTCCTTACTGCGACCTTGCTACGACCCAGGACGCAGCACAGTCGCCATGGACGCAGCAGGGACGCAGCGAGGTCGTAGCGAGGAACCCAAGGACGCACAAGGTCGCAGACCGTTGGCGACTATTTTGAACATGCACAAAACAGTCGCAGAAACTCTGCGTTCTTGCTTAGTCCTGGTTAGGTCGCCGTGGGATCGCAGTGGAGTCGCCATAGTCGCAGCAGCATTGTAGTAAGGACGCAATAAGAACGCAAAATTTATTTTAGACGTAGTACACTCGTACTAAGGACGCCGTAGAGTCACCGATGAAATTACAAGAAATTGCTCGGAAACCTTTGGCGACGCTCCTGCGTCCTTGCCGCTGTTTCAACAGACTGTGGACCACTAGAAGACTGTTTGTATGCGTCTCCGCCAGTGGATGAAGCCGCGATTTCTACACACTGTGAACCTCTACCAAACTGCATATCTGAAGCGGCGACTGGGTCAACTTGTAGCACTTTAGAGACCCTCGCTCTTTTGCCTCGTCCGCCTCTCATCTTTGGAATAATATGGATGATTTAACTTAATACTAATTAAATATACGTCTTCACTCGTTGAAGGTCAGACTCAGAATGAAATTTACTGGTAAAAAGTATTGTTTTTATAGACGTAGCAAGAACGTAGTAGGGTCGTCGTACAGTCGCAGGACAGTCGCCGGACAAACGTAATAGTCGTCGTAGAGGCGCCGTTAGGACGCAGAGAACATAGCACAGTCGCAGCTGGGTCGCCGATGATCGCCGTAGGGTCGACTTTGGGACGCAATACAGTCGCAGTGGAAACGCCATGGACGTAGAAGGGTCGTATTGAGGACATAGAGAAAACGTACTGAACACAAGACTGCAGAGCCCCGGACCGTCTGCGAGAGTTATTTGAAAATTTGAAAGAAAACCAACGATTTTCGAAAGAAAAATGCTATCTTACTAGTTTTCAGGTCGCAGTAAGGGCGTGGTTTATGTGTGAGGGCAGCATAACATTTATTTAATAATTTTATTAAAATATATAAAGATATTACATATTCAAAGGCATACATTCAATGGCGTTGGACAGACATGATAAGAGCATGAGCATTGATACATCGATATCATGTATGTAATACCATTAAATTAAAATGTTTTTTAACACAAATGTCATATGAAAAATAAATGAAGATGGAAAAGTAAAGAGCAAAAACACTTGTTGATTCTATACACCGGTGAAAAATAAAGATGATACAGTTAATTGTTGGTACATTAATTAAAAAAATAAAAAAGATGCCGAAAAACAACAATTTTCACAAAAATTAGGTGTAAGGCTACGTATTTACATGGGAAATCTAGATATTGGGTAATGCCAAGGTTTTTCACCTTTTTTTGTTAACCCTTTACCTCTTCTTTATAGACGTGTTTTGACGGCTTTTTGCCCCCCCCCCCTTTTGAGGCCTCAAACAGTGAAAAAATGCCCTATTTAGGCCCCAAACACTGTTTGTCGTTTGTCGTTTGAGAAATGATATTTAAAAAATGACCAATTTTTCGGCGCGGCCCCCTTCAAAACGATACATCAGGGGGTTGGGTTGCCAGAAGGAGGATGTTCCCCCTTCTGTTTGGGGGGTTTGAAGGGGGCGGTAGTCCCCCTCATCGCCAAGAAAAGTTTGGACATGTGACAGGCTAAAAGTGGCCTCATGTCGATCTTAAGGTGACGTGTAACCAACGATGAAAAGCATTTTGCTCTATCTCATTGCATTGAGAAGTTGCAGCACTTTGAAATCAGTTTTGATGGGAAAAAAAACAACAATGCAAAATATTGATTTTACGCAATTTTGAGACGTCCCTCCGTTGCCATGGTAACAGAAAATTTAAGATTGAGCATGCTGTTACAGAGGCTATGGTTCAGTCAACATTTGTGCCAAGTTTCATCAGTATTGAAGCATTTTTCATAGTTTTATAGCAGTTGGAACAACAACGACTGATAGATATTTAAATGAAGAAAAATATGCAATGATAATGATAATTTTTACTGGTTTTATCGAATCGAACTATACCAAAATCAATTTGTATGCCTCATCAGTGCAGGTAATTTTTACACGGATCATTTCATCCACAAAATTTTACTAAGCAACAAGTTTGAAATACATTAAAATATAGGAATGCGATTCGCTTTTCAGAAATAGGCGAAACTACCAATTATGCTTTTTACTATTGTACTTTTAGAAAGCTTTACTAATTGGAAGCATAGTTTTTATATTTTAGTTTTTCAGATATTTTATATGTGTATATTACTTTCCATTTAACAGACTGCCTTTTCCATACATTGAAGTTAAACCAGCGTCCCCTTTATTGAATTATTACTCGGTCTCTAGATTGATATTTATCATAAGTGACCAATAAGAAACTTTTAACATAAAACATAAATTTGCTTACACTATTCTGTAATATAGAAATCTAGAATATAGAAATCAACTCCAGTTTCAATTTAAAATTGTAATTATTTTATTTGAAAAATATACAACATTTCGATTCAAAAGTCTTCATCAGGTATATATTACACTATTTTAGAAGTTTGCCTGGAATTTGACCCTGAATTTTTCATTAAACTTGCAAAATGTTTTTTTAATACAATATGAATGCATTTTTATTTTTTATGACAAAATTGTTCGCGATGTCATTTAATTTTTCTTCTTTGCAAATATATATGATTTATGTTCTGCAGATTTGCTATTAATTATTTATAGTTGTACATGTAATAAATTTTCGACATGTCGCTGATGTCAGGCAATTTTAAGCTGCTGACTGGCAGTACTGCGCAAATAAAGATCGAGGTCATTTATCTATCTATTTCTATCTTATACTATACATGATATAGTTTACAGTGCTAAACTAAAAAGAATTACCTGTGAACATTTGCCTGCTATAATTCAGTTTGGGACGAAATAATGTATCAACAAAATCCCTGGCTTAACTAATTACATATTGATTTAATTGCGTCATAGGTCATTTGAATATAGATTACGCGCTGTGAGCACGTCTTTTCAATTCAGATCAGTTCTGAAACGATCGCACGAGGTGCAAGAGGTCGTAAGAGGTGTCTTGACAATCTCCTCGTGCTTGTGAGGGGCTTGGAATGACCAGCGATAATTCTACTTTTATTTAGTTCACCTCTAGGTATTTCGTTGAAGAATTAAACAGTCTGTGACTGAAATATAATCATTCATAGCATTTTGATAAAATAAATGGGATTTCTGTATCAGTTTTATATAACAGTAATTGTGATATTGTACTGACTGTCATACGCCCGACCACTGTCACGTGAAAATTTGTCTTTTAAAGTGCAGACTAAACATAATAGTAAAATAAATGATTGACTTTGAGGAATAATATGTTACACCACTTCTGGTACATTGTATATGGTGGTAATTTTAAATAACCAGTTATTTACAACTTTTGTCATTTTAGTTTCATCATTTACTTACATATATATCGCTTATCATTTGTTGTCTCGGGATTTTGCTCTAAGTAATGATTACCTGTCCAAGACGTTCTTAAAAGCGGCCTAATATTCATAGAGATTATACTTGCTCGCTTCAAGATAAATTTGACTTGTTTCAATGCCAACTATTCATTGTAAAACATTGGACTGTCAATACATGGTCATAATCGTTTTAAATTCAAAAACATTGGTTGTGTCTGCTCACAACAGAATATTTGTTTGTATGTTGCTAAAAGCCTTCTCTTTATTCTGTACTTTCTACTCATATGTGTAAAATAACGGATACTATATTAGAAAAAATAATTTAATACATGAAAGTATATCAAGTTTTTTATACAAGTTTTTTTCTATATAACACCAAACTAACCAATGTGCTTTATCTCTATAAATAGCAAATACATGTCGCCCCATTAAAGCAAAAAGGTACCAAGTGACATTTTCATGTTTTCGAGAAAATCGCGTTTAAAGATTTGAAGTTCCATATCAAATCAGGTTTTTACAACATGGCAAAGAATTGTCACATATATTTAGATAATATTTGAATGTACATGCTCAAAATTTTTGGAAAAAGCTTTATATATATTACTAATTAGTGATAATTAATGCAATTAAAGGAAATGGTTTCCTTTTTGCACTACAAATATTTTGACTGACAAAATGCAAGAAGGTACCATATGAACGCTTGGCCCCTTTTTTGCATTGTATGATTTTTAACATTTGCTGTCGAATATATCAAAAAAGGTACATATGGCAGTTGGCACCTTTTTGTCCCAACAATATTAAACAAAAGCATCCATTTGGGTTACAATTTTATCTCACAATGATACAACTAATAATATAAATTCTTGTGTTTTCAGTTAATTTCTGATACAACTATCACAGCTGCATGTTTTAAAAAGTCTTCCTCTGTGACCAATCTCAATGCCCTATGTCAAAATCTCTTACATTGTTAGTAAAAATCAGAATCATTCTCAATCCGATTCCATTGTGACATAATCCTTTTCTTTCTTTATGTTGGTTAAGTGGCATTATATTATGGAAATCTTTTGGATAATTTTCTTTGCACAAAAAGTAACCAGTTATTTTTTTTGAATAGAAACTGGAGGTTTGGTATCATTACTTCATAAATTGTTCACCATTTGTCCACTAATACTTTAGATTCTGTATTCTGAACTTCTATTCCATAAAATCTTCAGCATTAAAGCTCTAGAATTTACAAATACTGACTTTTGGCTTTCCTTTGGTACCTGTATCCATTCCACTTGTAGCCAGTTTACTCTTTGTCCGTCAATGGATGAATTGAGTCTCGGACACTGTTTTTTAATGAAGACTTTTTGTATTTGAAATCAAAAACATGGTTATATTTCATTGGCACAGCAATGTATGGCTGTGATTTTCTGGCCAGTGATATGAATGATACATAATTATACAGGAATTATTTTCTTTGCCCCTTCAAGAGTCAAGTTGTCACTCCATCTGTGAGTGACCCGATACAAGAAATTTGTGATCAATCTTAAACTTGGATCTTGTGATAATATAAAAGAAGAGACGCAGCTATGAATCAATTTCTGTTTTGTCCCCCGTATAAATCTGAAAAATATATGACTTATTTGACATAACCATTTGGCAAGTAGAAAAGGGTTTTTTTATTAAGCAGGAAGCTATTCAAGAACATGCCTCTCTTTGCAGTTGGTTTTATCCCATACACGACTGCACATTTTTGGCTCATAAAGAATATACTGTCAAGTTGTGTGTAGCAACAGAGTTTCTTAAATAGTAAAACTCACTCACAATGAGCAAGGGGTTGTTACAGCGGATTTGAGATCAAAACATGCAACATAAACGCATGTTCACCTTTTTGCTAAAACTTTTTTTAAATCTTTTCTTTTCTTGTGAATTTTCTTTCTGTTTTTTTGATGTTCAATATTGTTCCTTGATCGTGCCATCTGTGTTTACTGGCTACCTATATGTATGTTGCTTAATAGGTTTTGTTTCTTCTTTTTCACTTTCAATAGTTTACAGTTTCCACATCTTT